ATGACATCAAACATTACAAAAAAATACAATTCATATTATCCATACCATTTATGTGAGCAAAACTATTTTATTCACCTAAACACATCTAAAACAATCTAAAACACCTATTAAAAAGTTACACATACAACACTGGCATATAAATGGAAATTTGGCCCAGATAAATGCAAAACGTTTCATATAGAAAAAGAATTCTGAAAAAAGATGATTTTGTATTTGGATATCATTAAATCCATCAATCCAAAGACAAGACCAAGATCTACAAATATTTAGGATTCCAATTTACTAATACCATATATATACAAAATTTATAATAATAATCATAGATAAACTAATTTCATACTAATTATTTCAAATATTTTTATGCCTAGATTAAGTATTTATGAATATTATATTATAAATTTTATAAATAAGTTGTAGAAAACAATTTAAATTACAAATAATTTTTATTTTAAAATTTGTTTAAAAATGAAAAACTTGTTTCAATGAATATTATAAAGATTACATTTATAAGTCAATTAAAAAGTTCCCAACAAAAATTTAATTGAATAAGTAATGTAAATTCTTAATTATTCATTGAAACTATAAAATAGTTTTATATATTGACTTACATATTGACTCCATATTTTAAATTTAAAATCTTACTTCTAATTCACTTTGTAAAGATTGGCTAATATAAGGCATAATCAAAAAGTTTCCGTTTGAAGCTGTACAGTCCAGATTTGGTATGCCAGTCATGCAAAAGTGCTGTGACCATTTAGGCAAGCATCCCACTGCTTCACCAGGTTGAATATACCTTGTTGGTAAAACTCCTGTTTCTGCTGCTTGAAGAAGTCCAAAACTGCCTGCTGCACTTCTATATTCGACTGGAACTGTCGACCTTTTAAGGACTTCTTTAAGGGACCAAAGGCATGAAAATCACATAGGACTCGAGCACCAACCTTACAGTCCTGATCTCTTGATCAGGACTGTAAGGTTGGTGCTCGAGTGTCTCCCACTTTAGTGCGTGTAACTTCTGCCTTATGACATTTGCGGTATGGGATGTGCGTTATCATGAAGCAGAATCAAGGCTGTGCCATCTATGATGCAGAGAGGTGGCCGCATCAGGCAGCACCGTAAGGGGCGGCATAAGCAGAGAAATCAAAATATTTGAATTATTCAATAATTAAAAATTTTTACGCAACGCTTTTCTGTATTGGTCTAGGTTATTCCGATATTGATGTATATGATTTATGATTTATTGCACGCCTCTGCCTAAATACTTTCAGTACCCTTTGATTTCGGTTTATGGTGCAGGTGTATTGTTGGTGAGCGCTCGCCAAAAGGCTTTTGACATGACAGTGCAAAGCTACTGTTCTTGTTTGTAATATACCGCACAATCACTCCTAAAAGCTGAAGTGGCAATTATCATAAAAGATAATTGTATGTGTAACATGTTGATAGTTCTGCTTTGAGCTTAAATTATTGACAATATTTGATTTTAATATTAGTTTGTCTCAAGAAGTAGTAAGTGGCTGTGTTTGTGTTTAAATCAGTAAATCAGATATATATATATATATATATATATATCAGTATAATATCTTTGCATTTACACTAGTTCAGTTTTTGTGTTTNCTGGAGTGGGACTCAAACCTTCAACTCCTGCTTACTGTGTAGATGCACTGCCAATTACACTATCTGGACCATCATCCAATCTTCCAGTTCCAAGCATATTTAATTTTAGATATAACCATCCACAGTTATTTAAGGCACTGACTGGGGACAAGTTTATTGTATAACCAGTATAATTATTAATAGTAGCTGTAAAGTAGCTTGATTCAATATGGCAATCATTTGGCTTATGATTAAATATCAGGCTTTGAGATGTTTCTATATGTTTATAAAGAAACATTTTTTTGCCTAAAATAAGTCATTAATAAATAATAATATATTGTTAATCATTGACTGAGTTTCAATTTTCTCTCAGGAGATAATTTGATAAAATAAATTTTAATTATAAATTATATTTGTAATAGTTTTTTTCAAAATTTATAATTTTGAAAAATTATTTTAAATTTTTATCAGATGTTATGCCACTTTATTTTTAAAATGTGGTTTAAAGCACTTTTGTTACCAATATGAAAATAATAAAACAAGCACTTTTATTATTCTCATGTTGATTAGTGCTATTTTTTTATTATGATATTTATTGTATTTTAAAGTTTACTTACAGTAGTGTTTTACAAGAACTATTGATATCTGCTCCCCATAACAATAGCTCCCTTTAAAAATTAAGAAATAAGAACAACTAATACAAACATTAATATTACAAATAAAACACTAAGATACAAAAATGTTACTCTATAGTTTCATGACGTAAAAATATTTTTTACAATATTTTTTAAAAGTAAAAAAGTCATGTAATAACTGGTGTTCATAATCAACTACTCAAAACTGGGTTTACTTAATAAAAAAACACAAATGGAATCAATTTCCAGTGCAAATTTATAAGAAAGCAAATGTTTTTCGATTGTGTTAAGTAGGCATCTTTAGGCTAACTCAAGTTAGCATGTTTTCTTATAAATTTGTGTTCGAAATTGGTTCCATTTGTTTTATTTAACTGGTGTTACATGTATTTCTGGGTTTCAGGAGATTGTATAAGGAAGGATCTATGTATAATATTTAGTCTAGTAAAAGAAGTATTTATGACTTTCTGATTTCACAAATTGAAAGATGGTATGTGAATAAAATTTATTTCTTGCTTAATTTTATGTTTTGGAGAACTGAAACATTTATTCCTCATTTTCATAGACAACAGAAGACCTGCAAAACCAATTTATTTATCTTAAAATATACAAATACTTCAGCCCTTCATATTTTTGATAATATGCATTTTGGGTACCTATCCCTTATTAGTTGTCACTGTGAAAGCTGAAAATGCAATTATTTGCTGTAGTTACTTAAAATTCTTTTACAAAATTAATTTCAACATACCTTATCATGTGATATAAATAATTTAAATGACATATGTATTAAAATGATACAGTTACAAAAGACAAAAATGCAACTCTTAAATATGTCAAAATAGAAGAAAGCTTAAGTAACAGCACATGTAGATAAACTGTTGAACCTAAAACAAACAGTATATTCTTAATCAGAAAAGAAAAATAATACGCAATAGTAAACTTACACATAAATTATGTGATTAACATTAAACAATCTTATTTATTGCAATAACTTAAACTGTTATGACACTTCGAATTTCACAAGAGTCCCTTGCTTTTACAACTGCATTTATTTGTTGATCACTTCTTTTTGCAATGACAGCATGTATAGCCTTGTCCTCCACTTTTCAAATTATTTGCAGCTGCTTCTCTCAGAGATATTTCTTGAGAAGAAATCTCATCTATGGAAAGTAACTTTTCTTTACAAATTTCAAAATGATTGTGGGTATAAAGCTGCTCGAGGGTATCTTTTTTGTTTGCTAATTTATAAAAGTCGGAGTCTTCTATTCCAACAACAACCGCCAACACATTTTGGGCATCTGTACGGCCGTGGTCGACATTAGGGACTTGTATTCCTATGGTTTCACCAATTTGAGCAGAAGGAAACAGTGAAGAATTTGGCGACAGACTGTCACCTCTCTGTTGACATTGGCTTCTAGGGTGTCGTTTCGACCTCCACCAAAGCTTATCTGTGCTTGTCGACATACACTGGCGATTGTTCGAATGTGTAATAATATAACCAAATACTCAGTCTTTCACCAACGTATTTTGTATTTGTCGACATTATCTAATTTTGGTCTTTCACAGTAACAAATATATATAAAGCAAAAAGATTGAGAAGGAATATTAGATAAAGCAGAATTCATAGCCTTTTCATTGTGAAAAGAGGACTTAATAACTAAAGGATGAAAATTCAAGAGAAAAGTAAAAACTTTAGAGAAGATTTTTTTCAACATTGCATGTTTGGTGTGACCTTTTCTTAACTAAAGATCTGAAAGGTCAATTAGTTTTGTATGTTTTGACCTCAAAGAATAGTTGAGAGAAAGAAATATTTTTAGGATAAAGAGAATCTGTGAAGGTGGTGTTTAAAATCAGTTTAGATACTTATGTTAAATGATTCATACTTTATTCAGACTTCATTAAACAATATACTTTTCATTCATACTTCCTGCCAATGCTCAATACACATACTGATACACATAGGCTAAGAACAAAAACAGTCAGATAACAAAGAACATTATATTGGCTCTTCAGTAGTCGAGTATTGCCAGCCACATTATATAAACTACTATTTTTTCACATATAACAATACTAGGCATGATATTTTGGTAGCTGTCTTTACTAAGTAATCATTATTTAAAATTGTGCAACCTGTTTGGGGTCAAGAATGCTGATAATCTGTATTGAAAATTGTCATTGGAGCAAGGTATCACAAGGTATCAACTGTTTTGTTTGTCTGAAACAAGAAACTTGAGGTTGTTGATGGTGAGTAAATTCCTGACATGTTCAATGGCTGTATTGTAATGATTAGAGAAATAACTTAGACAGGGCAAGATGAGCAGCCAAAAGACAATAAAGTATTTGACCAGTTTCCTTGGGATTGATTTGACAGCTGTCAGGATGGATATGGACAAGACACATGGGATTTAAGACAGTTGGCTTGATAATAGATTTTGGACCTTTCAATAAGAATAGGAAGATATTTACACCTAGATAAAATTGAAATATGGAGTATAAAGTTTGTGTGTCTTGTGAAATTCTTGTGCTTCAAAAATCAAAAGAATTTTGCAAGATAGCCAGATATTATGTAGTTTGCAATAGAAAGTATAAAGAATAAGCCTATAATACTTTTATATATTAGAGCAACTTTTTTATATTGACTAAAGTGACATAGGAATCATTTTAAACAATTTTGTTTTAAAATTATCAATAAAATGACACTTCAAATTTTTAATTTCTAAATAAATATGGCTTTAAAAAATCCATAATTTTTTAGATTTTATATGTTAAAATAAAAACTACATTATGTTTATTAGATTGTGTCCCAAGAATTATACATGTCTTCCTGACATTGGAGACAATCCTAACCATGGATATACTAATTTTGATTCCTATGGTTGGGCTGTGTTAAATACACTTCAGCTAATAACATTAGATTTTTGGGAAGATGTTTACAACAAGGTAATATAAAATAATATCTGAATATTTAAATAAATTATAGTTTTAGTGCTTTGTGAAGTATCTAAGTAATATTATATATATATATTTTTTTCCCCTACATTTAGATAATTGATGCAACTGGTCTTGCAAGTATAATTTTTTTTATCCTTATTATTTTTTTGGGATCATTTTATTTAGTGAATTTGACATTAGCTGTGGTAGCAATTGCTTATGAAGAAGAAGCAAAGAAAACATTACAGGTATTGTTCATACAGTGTTTTTTAATTAATCAATTCTTTAATACTAATAATGTAATAATATTAATAACAATAATAACTTTCTTATTGATCTTGTCAAGATGAGATGACAAAATAGTTCTAATAAGCCATAGAATAATGCTATGGGTAGAGCCACCAATTTCAATAAGGTCTATGGAAAGAAATGAAGCAAAGAAATAACCCCACAAGCAGCATCTGACCCAGAGTAATAGGCTGCTAAACAGCATATGTTCTCCTTATTAAAAGTTAGTGATTTATGAATATTTGATTTTAGGTATTAAAGCATGTCCACCTCTGTGGAGAAAGCAAACATTCTAAGCATAATACTGGCTTGAATTATTTGGGTTTGAATGTGAGCCTCTGTATAACTTACATCTGTGGGTTAGACAGGCTCACATTCAAAAATCTGCCATAACGTCCCTGGTCACTAGTGTTGAACACAATCCTGGTCCAAGTATGCTAGGGCATCACAATCCCAATCATTATCTCATTTAAACATACTAGATAACACGCACTAACTCTGATAAAGTTTTCCAGTGGTGATTCAGCCATTAACCTCCGAAACTAGAAAACCATGCCAATGGATAAAATGGACACAAAAAATGAACAACTTCATCATTTGTACTTACTACATCATCACAAAATTCAAATAGTATGACAATATACAGACAACTACAGTAAATCCTCACTTAATGTCATCAATAGGTTCTTGGAAACTGTGATGTTAAGTGAAACAATGTGTATGAAACCAGTTTTACTATAGGCTAAATGATATAAAAACAAGATATAATTTGGTTAATATTTATTCTAATTGGATCATATTTGCAACCTCTAGCATTTATTTCCCATCTCATAGAATCAATATTTACTATTTATAAAGAAAATTCAATAACAATAATTGTAAATACAGTGGTGCCTCATATAAAGTATGCCTCGAATAACGGACACTGTGAACAACGGATTTTCTGTTTGGCTGTTACGTGACTCGAGCAACAGACTGGCTGCGAACAACGGACTTTCTGTTTGGCAGTTACATGAGGCGAACAATGGTCTTTCTGCGAACAAAGTGCGAATGATGTTTCCACTCTTTTGCCGTTGCCAATGACAATCTGCTATTTTTATAATATAATATTATTATTATATCTGAAGTACAGAGCTCCCGTTGGGATTCGGCTTGCTCCCTTGTTTATTACGTACATCACCTCAGTGTAGGGTATTTACATTTATTCAAGTGTTGTGCAAATCATGGCTTCTAAAAAAACAGAAAGGTGATTTCAATTGAAACAAAGCAAGAAATCATCAGAAGGAGTGAAAGTTGGCAAACACTTCCTTGTCAAATGGGGAGAGGTTCAGGAGTTTACCAACACTCATTATCCAAACAGAGCTGAGGCCAACAGGATCAATGAATTCTACAATGACACCCTTGCCTGTCATTTCCGACAGGTTTTGAAGAAGAGAGAGAGAAACAGACCACGTTGGACATATTTTTCAAGAAGCAAGCTGCCAAAAAATAAAGGATGGAACAAGAGGAGATGACCCTGCAAGCTACGGTAGCCTCTCCTGAATCCGACTCTGATTAAAAAACAATAAAAAGAGACTTGCTGCAATGTGTAAAAAGTCTGTATCTGTATAAATGTGTGAAGAAAGTGTTCCTTCGCCTCCTCCTCACATCTGACTACCCGGCATAATTGGTGACTACTCCATTTTCATTTATTTCATGGTACAGTACGGTTATTTTATGCTGCGGAACAAATTATATGTTTTAACATGTATTTCTATGGGAAAATGTGTTTTGTGTAACGGACTTTCCACTTAATGGACATGCACCTGGAACGGATTAAGTACGTTATACAAAGCACCACTGTAATTACAGATGTACTGTATTTCCTCAATGTTGCTATAACAAAACATTGTTAGACATTATAACATAGGAATACACATATCTCATTACTATAAGAGCTTATTGATCAGACAAAACAAAGGCTTATTGATCAGAAAAGAATAATTGCACAGAACAATCTACAGCACTAGAACATATCAACTACAAGTCACAAATTACAAATATATTGTGAGAATCTGAAGAGGGCAAATTAATAAGTAGATTAATTTGTTAAAAATTAAAAGAAGCAGGGAAAACCCTCCTCTGTTTCCCCCTCCTTGCCGATCATAATGGCAATTGAATGTTGTTACAAGGCACAGTTGTTACAATGTTTAGATTTAATGGAGAACCTTAGTCCAAACAACCGATTATTAATGATGGGAACTGTCAGTTGGGAAAAATTATGAGTAAGAAAAGTCACATCTCGGTGATGACATCTATGAATTTTGATGTTATGGCCAAATATGGTAAAAAGAGTCAGACCATTCCAGTCAAGATGATGGCATAGCTCAAACTCCAAGCTCATTTCAAAGTCACCTGATAATTCTCCCACATGCCATGCGTATAAAATGTGCTCAAACTTGAGTCTTGGGGCAGACATACCAGGAAGAGCATAGAAGAAGCTCTACCCACCACACTCCATGCCAAACTTTATCTCCAGATGACTTGAAGAAAGTATTGCCCTACTGATACTCCTTGACAAAAGGACAGAGGACTACTTGCTACCCATACTGACAGTTGATCCTGGTGCATTTTGCCAACGAGATCAGGAACCATCCGTCTAAGAGGTATTATTTAGTTACTTTATGTAAACTCTCTCTCTCAGTTGATTTAGAAATTAAGATAGATTTTAAGCACTAAGACAGTCATCCCTGTAGTACCAATCTCGGTCTATGCTCGTTGTTATCTTAGCTACAGCTCTCCTATTCTGTATGCTGTAATCCAACTTTTTGTTTTTGATATATTAAATTTGTTCTGTTTATTTAAATGGGTTGTGATTACTTATGTATTGCCGACACCTCATCGACGACCTCGTTAACCCTCCCACTCACGTGCATTCAAGCCATCCATTGGCCATGAACAGGATCTACCATCCCATCGGGGTTAAGAGGGGATTAGAGTTTGGCTCTCTATATCTATCCCCCCGGTTCTCACAATATCAATGCATAGAAACACTAGATCACACAGAAGATCAGATACTCATTGATAATACACCAACTGTAGTTGCTAACAAAAACGTACATAAAATATTAATTAACAATGAAAACATAAACACAACAATTATAACCAATAATACTCTAGATATAGCATTACTTAACAAACTTTCACATTTATTCCAAGATACATTTATTAAACATATAATTAATACAATCAATACTCTCAGACATACATTTATTAGCTTCTAGTGCAGTCACTGCAATAACATGCCTTGACTTTAAAATTCAGTTACAATCAAACACAATCAAAAGACACAAATTATAAGCATGCCTTGCAAAGAATGTGTTAGGTGATCAGCAAGTAACTTTATAAAGCTAATAACAGACTTTTGTTACAGAAATCAAACATACAGAATTTATATGGAAGTAATTTACTATATCTCAACAAAATTGCCTAGTCTATTCAGTCATTTATTGTGATGTGTAATGTGAATGAGCTTGTTCATTCTGTCCTCAAAAAATTCCTGTTCCTGTTGCTGCAGCCAACCAGTGATGGCAGTTAACAATAAGCCTTTAATCCCTTTTTTAAAGATATTTAATACAAATATAGTTTATTACGTAGAATATTATTACAATGAAAAGGTTATCAAACACTAGAAACTATTAATGTCTTATATATCCCTAAAAGGCATTTTAGCCCCTGGTATTAATGATCCTTGTGGCTTGGTCAAGCCATGCTTCTTTAATTTTTTCCCTTTTTCCTTTTTTTTAAAATCTATTACTTCTGGCAATTGTCTATCTAGCCTTGTCCTTATTGGTTGGCCTTAGTGGCTTTTTCAAATAGAAAGGGAGTCACCTGATTGGTTGGGAAAGGGCAAAGAGGTATATAAAGGAGGAAGATGCCGAAAGAAGGGACTTTTGGGTTGAGTTTTTGAAGAGAGAGGATGGAATCCAGTTTAATCATCAAGATAAGGAGGAGAGATGGAGTTGTGAATTGCATAGATTGGAGAATACTTCCTTAAGTGTAAAGGAAACAAATTAGTTTTAAAGGTTTCTGTGTATTTTTTGCCCAAATAAAGGAATAACTGAAACAAGTGATTTAGAGAAATAAAACACATGCAATGAGAAGAATAACTCAGCATTACCACTATTTTATCAAAGAAAGAAAACCCCAGGTGTTATTTTTGCCAACCATTTCTTTCTTTAAAGTTTTCTTTATTAATTAAACATTTGAACCAAACATCAATTAAAAATGCATATACAGCAATACCCCGAACTTATGTGATAGGTGGGACCGAGCGATAACCGCGTAAGTCGAATTTGCGTAAGTCAGGGTATAATTTCGCAATTTGTGTAAAATCCAAGTCAGATGTATGTAAGCTAATAAATGTTCTCGTTAATCTTATCTCGTCTTTTGATTTGTTCACGGTTACAAGAAATCACCACATAGAGTCTCTCGAGTCTCCATAGATATAACAAACACAGAAATAAATAACACAAAATAAATTGTAGCTATGTGTTGATTCTGCACAACATGTCTGAACATGTAAGCCAAACAATAGTGTGGGGGGAGTGAGTAATCGAGAGTTGCATGGTGTTCAAACAAAAGACGAATCGACGAGATTTGAAAATCGCGTAACTCCGGGTTCGCATAAGTCGGGGTATTACTGTACAAGAACACATTAAAGCTATACTGTATAATAGTGATTTTTCAACAATAAACATTTGTATTTGTAAACATTATTGTTGAAAAATCACTATTATTGTGATTTTTCAACAATAAACATTTTTCAACAATAAACATTGCACTAAATATGGTTGTGAAATTAATAAAAAATTTTATAAAAAATAATCAAAAAAGAAAAGAATACACTTAAAATTATTTGAGCATATAGCCGTAATACGGGTCATAATTCTTAAGTCAACTCTGGTTATATCTGGGCCCT